GGAGGTGAAAAGAAATGTTAAATCTAACAAAACTACTTTAAGTTTTAAAGGGGCTAAAGGGGTTTGAAAATTCCCAAATAAAAAGAAGCATTTAGCAGTTTGCTTGCATTCCAACATCCGTTCACACACAGAAGGGCTCTCCACAGGGAAACTCAAGCCAAACTCCCAAAATTAATCAAAAGACAGCAAATGTGCAAAACATGTACTATGCATTTTGTTCTGTCAAAAGCTGCAAAAGAATTAAGGCCAAAAGAAAGAATTATGCACTGTTGATGTAACTGTAATCTTTCTGCAAGTCCAAAAGACTTGGCAATAGATTTTGATTAAAACTCTGCATAATTCATGTAGACTTTTCATAAAAACGATCAGATGTATCACATCCCATGAGTGCAGATTCTGATCCATTGTAAAATTATATTGTTTACAGTACATTAGTCCAGGCGCTTCTTATAATTTCCTGGATAAAATACATATCATTCAAAAAGGGACAGGTATTTTTAGGAACACAAAGCACCTAATAACATAAAACACTCCTCCTGAAGGGCTCAGATGAAAGATGTTTTGCTTTCTTTTGAGCATTCCATAATAACCACCAATGCGCTCACAGCTAAAGTGCCTTCTAACACACTTCTGAGATTACTCACAACTGGATGATCCCACCAACATGGACAACAGAGAAGGCAATGCTGGCAGTAACTGATCTGTGACTCAGAAAAGAAAGAGATTTCCTCACAGGACCCAACTTCATTTCTCATCTGAGAAGAGACTGTTCACAGCAGAGGCAGCAGGAGGACCGAAAGGACACAGAGAGGGGTGAAGTGTGGAGATCCGATGGGGCGCCCTGGATTCCCAGGAAAGGTAACATTGGCCACTAGCCACGGGCAGAGGAGTGTCCTGCTACCAGGGACTCCGCGTCCATGTGACAAGTGGACCCATTTCACAAGGGGGAGAACACAAAGAAAATGCCAGGGGACAAAGAACAGCAAGCCTGACCAGTGGAGATCCACATCTTGTAATCGTGAGTATTACGGGCTGAGAAAAGCCCCATGAGAAAAGGGTCTGGGTTTGCTCAATGCAGAGAGAAAATTAAAACACTACAAAGTTAACAAGATGAATTAGGTACTTGTAAAAGTGTATGACAAGGGAAAGAAATACTACAGTTGGCTATTGAAAAGGACGTCCTACTTTAATAAGTCACTAGGTCATGTTAGGTGTGGTAGTGGGTGGCTGCAGTCCCCAAATTTGCACATTAGACAAGAAGAGATAAAATCTATAATTTAAATTTTCTCCCCAGGAAACTAGAAGACAAAAAAAGGAGCAAATTAAATCCAAAGTAAGCAGAAGAAAAAAATATTAAAAATTAGAACATAAATCATGAAACTGAAAACAGGAAATCAACAGAGTAAACCAAACAAAGTCAGTTCTTTAAAGATTTAAATAAAATAAATGAAGCACTAGAAAAACAGGCTAAGAAAAAGAAGACACAAATGACTAATAAGAGAAACAAAAGGGGACATCAGTACAGATACTAAGGGCATTAAAAGGATAAGGGACTATTTTGAACAAGTCTATGCTCACAAGTTGGATAATCTAGATGAAATGAACCAATTTTTAGGACAACACAAGCTGATAAGACTCTTTCAAAAAGTAACAATCTCAGCACTCGGTAGGCTGAGGCAGGAGGATCGCTGTGAGTTCAAGACCAGCCTGGACTACATAGTGAGTGCCAGGTCAGTCTCAACTATATAGTGAGACCCTGTCTCAAAAAAAAAAAAACTGGAATCAATAAATGATTATAGCCATGTTGCAGGATACAAGGTTAATGTACAAAAGTCAATCATTTCCCTATATACTGTTCTAGCAATGAACAAGCAGAATTTGACACTAAAAACACAATACTGGTAACATTAACATCCCTGAAATGAAACACTTATAAATCTAAATAGGCTACGCACAAAATCTAAAAAAAAAATCAAAGAACTAAATAAATAAATCTTCCATGTCCATGGAGAGAAAGTCTCAATATAGCAAAGACATCAATTCTTTTCAAGGTGACCTATACATTCAATTCCATCCTAAGCAAAACCCCAGCAAGTTATTTTTTTGATATCAACAAATTGATCCTAAAGTCTTCTGGAAAGGCAGAAGACCCAGAGGAGTCAACATAATACTGAAAGAGAAAAACAAAGCTGGAGCCAAGCACTGTGGCGAATGCTTATAATCCCAGCACTCAGGAGGCTGAAGCAGGAGAATAGCCATGAGTTCGAGGCCAGCCTGCACTACACAGTGAGTTCAAGGCCAGACTGAGCTACATAGTAAGATCCTGTTTCAAAAAAAAAAAAAAAAAACAAAAAGAAAGGAACCAAAGTTGGAGACTGACACTATGCGGCATTAATACTGATTACAAAGCTACAGTAATTAAGACAGGGTGCTATTAGCAAAGAATGACAGATCAAAGGAAGCCTGGAAATCAACCTAAGTGAAACTGGTCAACTGATCTTGGACAAAGAGGCCAAGCCAATATAATGAAGAAAGGAGTCTCCATAAATGGTACTGGAAAAACTGGATGTCCACAGGCAAAAACCACCTACATCTAGACACAGAACTTACACTTGTTACTACACACAGATCTAACAGTAAAATGCAAAGCTATAAAACTGCTGGGAGGTAACACAGGAGAAAACCAGATGATGTTGTAGATGGTGATGACTTAGGTATGCAACAACATCAATGGTTCATGAAAGAAAGAACTGATAAGCTGATCTTCATTAAAATTACAATGTTCTGCTCCGTGAAAGACACCATCTAGAGAATGAAAAGACAAACCACAGTTTGGAAGGAAATATTTGCCAAAGACAGACCTTAGTACAAACAAACTTCTGCAAAGTGAATATTTTTCTAATAGGTCTGATTATATATATCTATAAGATCTCAGCAAGAAGAAAAACAATTAAAAAAACAGGCCAAAAACCTTGTCAGACACTTCACCAAAAGGATATACAGATAGTAAGTAAGCAGATAAAAGATGCTCCACATCATTTGTCATGGGGAAATACAAATAAAATTACCCAAAGAGATTCTACTCGACATCTTTTTGTTTTTGTTTTTGTTTTTGTTTTTTTGAAACAGGTTCTCATTATGTGGTGCAGGCTGGCCTTGAATTCAATATGTAGCCCATGCTGGCCTCAAACTTGCAGCAATCCTCCTGCCTCAGCCTCCTGAGTGCTAGGATTACAGGCATATGCCACCACACTCTACCTACCTCAACATCTTTAGAAAGACCAAACTCCAAACAATGCCAAGACCAAAGGCTGAGGAGGGTAGGAAGCACAGCAGGAACTCTTATTGACTGCTGGTGAGAATGTGAAGTAGTACAGTAGGGCACTTTCTCACAAATTGAAACATACTACCTGATCTAGCAATCACAAGGAAGTGAAAAGTTCCATGCACACAAAAACCTGCAAGTGGATATTTATGGAAACTTGATTCCTAATTGCCTAAACTTGAAAGCAATCAAGATATCCTGCAATAAATGAATAGACACAGTCCGGGACAACTAGACAATGGAATATGATTCAGTTCTACAAAGAAAGGAGCAATCAAGTTATAAAGAAGCTTTAAGTGCATGTTAATCAGTGAAAGAACTAGTGCACATCTGTAATCCCAGCACTGTGAGAGGCTGAGGCAGGAGGATAGCAAGTTAGAATCCAACCTGGGCAACTCAGCAACTTAGTGAGACCTTATCTAAAAAAATTAAAAGAGCTGAGGACCAGGGATTTAGCTCAGTGGTTCTGGTTGACTGCCTTGCAAGTGCAAGGACCTGAGTTTGATCCCTGGTACCAAAAAAAAAGAAAGAAATTAAAAGAGCTGAGAAGAGGAAAAAAAATATGAGAAAAGGAAAAAAATGGAAACAAACTCTTTGTAAATAGGCAAGTGTGGAGGGGGTGATGGGAGGACAGGGGTATGGGGGAAAAATAAGATATATTATGTAAAGGTACAAGATCCCAATGATGAATATAACTGTACTGTATACCTAAAAAGTACAAAAAAACAAAAAAATGAAAGAAGCCAACATAAAAAGGCCACATACTTCCAACTACATGACAGCCCAAGAAAGACAAAACTACAAAGAAAGTCAAAAGATTAGTGTTTGCCTGGGTTTGGAGGACAGGGGAGCACGGTGAAGAGACTGTGACATTGTCCTGACAGACGCCTGTCACTGTCACTATACCCAAGCCCACAGGATATACACACCACACATGACCTCAGGTACAGTATGGATGGCTATGACTACGTGGTTCCATCAGCTGTGACACATGTGCTATCTCTGTACTTCCTCTTACTTCTGCTGTGACTCTTACACCAAAAAATAGTAACAATAATGTCAACTGTATCATATGTCAACTTATACTGATCACTATCAATAATGTCAACTTATACTGATCACATAGTAAAAATCATAACATTCTGGGGCCGAGGGTTTAGCTCAGTGGTGCCCCCGCCTGCATCACAAGTGCAAGGTCCAAAGTTCGACCCTCAGTACCAAAAGAAAAAAAAAATCGTAACATTCTGTATATATTGAGTCAAACTAAATACATTCTTAAATTAATTCCCTTTGCTTCTTCTTCCTTTTTGGAACACATTGACTTGAAATTAAAGGGCATACTGGGTTCACATTTAGGGCCTGCGCTCTATTCCTACTGAACAGCAGTGGCCAAGGCAACCAAGGAAACACTCAACACCACACACTCTGGGCCCCTCATTTCCAAACGCAGACAGCGGGAAGGACAATGGTGTGCAGCACACCCTGAGGATGTGTGTTAAGTCCAGCAGCAGCAGCTGTGATGGTGCTGATGGGGAATGAGTGTCAGCAAGGGCTTTGCAGACACAGAGAAGCTGTGACTGTGGACCCTGCCCCTCTGCCTGGACATCCCCACCTCTCCTGGGTGCCTGTTGACCTCTCAGCAGTGCCTCGCCAGGACCCCAGCACCGCAGCCCACCTTTGATGAGCTCGGGCCGGTAGGTTTTCCGCAGTTGCTCCAGGAAGCTGTTGTAGAAGCCCTCGGCCTGCTCAGTGGGCATGGCCAGGTGGAAGTCGGGCTTGTTGCCCTTGAGGACGCACTGCAGGGTGAACTGGCTGACACACAGCACCTCATACTGCTTGTCCATCACGCTCTTGGACCAGTGCTTGCCACTCTCATCCTCAAACACACGCAGGTTCAGTATCTTTCGGACCCTGGTGAGGAACAGAGAACAGTGAAAGCAACCGCACAAGGGCCCCACACGCCATACATCCCAGCTGTCCCCAGCTTGCTGCCAGAGAAGGAAGGGAGCCACTGCTCACAGAAGATGTGACCTTGGCCAGGACTCATGTGCACCACTGCTGGGGCACAGCCCTGTCCCAGGAGGCTGCTCTGGGGTCTCTGCTCTTGCAGCTTCTCTATTCACAGCTCCTGGCAGGCACTGGGCCCACAGTGATAACCTGTGCCGTTCGCTTGTCCAGGTGGAGGATTTGCCCAAACATGGAGCCATGTTCCTCTACTGCAGTTGACATGGAACAGCCACCCTGGCAAGGAAGTGGGGCAGTCACAATCATGGGTCAGACTCAGGACCATGAAGAGCTCCCCAGAAGCTGAATCCCAACCCTCTGACTATGCTGGGACCCTCCAGGGTGGGTACAATTCTGGGTACTCCCATCCCTCCACCAACACAGGGTCAGCTGGGCAGGGTTATCACAGGCCCTGGGCACCAAGGGGTAGGTACAAAGTGGCAAGCATCTGAAGCCAACATACCATACCAGTGAACTCAGGCAGGGCTGACCCCCCCAGGCTAGTGAACTAAGCTATAGCAGCAAGCTCTCCTGGGGCAAGGAGCTGCCTCTCTGGTGTGAACAATGACCAATGGGGCACCTTGAAGGTGTATACACAGTGCCCAAGTCAAACTGCCCAAGTTTCAAAAAGAACCCATATATAGGAGCTTTGGCACACCTGTACTCTGAGCACTCTGGGAAGCTGAGGAAGGAGGATGCAAGGTTCTAGCCTAGCCCAGAGAATATAAATTTTAAAAGGGGGGTGGTAACTCAATGTAAAGGCCCTAAGCTCAGTCCCCAGTACTGAGAAAAGGTGGGAGCCTACAGGTTCAAAAGCGACAGAGATGGAGGCTAAGCTGCATTCCATCAGCCGCTGACTTCGCAGCCACCTTCCAGGGTGTCATCTGAGACACATGGAGATCACTTACTACAGAGTTCAACAACAGATCAAAGCGAGAGGAACAAGTGCCCACCCTCCCCACCCCCATCCACACGCAGAGTCAAGGGCCCCCCTCACATGTGCTCCAGCTCCTTGTGCGAGTCCTCCAGGGAGATGCCCAGCAGCACACAGAGGCCCCGGCCGATGGCGCTCACCTGCTCGCCTCCAACTGGAAGGAACCAAACAAGATCACTCAGAAACACCCTACAGCAACATGGGACTGAGTCCAACAGCACACATGCTTCACTTTGCACAACTTCTCTGGTTAACGTCAGTGGTAAGCAACAAGAATGGTGGTGCATACGAGCAGTAAGATGCAAAACATTCCCATCTGTTCTCATTTTCTTTTTCTTTGTTGGTATTAAGGACTGAATCCAAGGCCTTGGTACCTCCCAGCCTTTTTTTTCTGAAACAGGGTCTTGCAAAGTTGCTAAATTGCCCAGGCTAGTCTCAAACTAGCGATCCTCCTGCCTCAGCCTCCCAGAGTGCTGGGATGGGTGTGCACCTCCACATGCGGCTCCATTCTGTTTTTATAACTGGAATGAATGGGAGCCGCAGAGTTAGCAACCACTGAGCAGGACTCTACGACCACATTCTCATCGGTTACCTGGGACCAGACACCTGGAACTTTCTGGGGTCTGGTTGTAAAAAGCACAGTGACACTTTCCTCCCCAAAAGGAACCCAGCTCAGCTGGATTAGCTGTCAGAGGGGAGGATCCAACTTTTCCAGCAAACCAGCAAATCTGGTGACAAAATGGAGAAGGATCACATCATGAGAACAATTCTGTTCTTCCTAATTACTACTGAAAACAAAAATACATTCACCTAAAAACTATGGCTTTTGTGTTGGCCTCCTCTCAGCCCTCCTTTCCCAGGCTGATACTGTAACAACTTCCCAGCCGATGAGCGCCAAACCTTTTGGAATTGTCATCTCGTCCACCAAACATCTCTGAGCACATGGGAGCATTTGTGTGCGTATTTAGACTCAAGTGTCTGCCTTCCTATCACCAGACAATCTCTCAAATGTGGGCTCAGCACTTAGCCAAAACTCACCATTCTGACAATGGATCTGAATCCATATTTCAAACGATGATCCTGATAATTTCCGCTTTTTCGGCCCACTTTTTGCCAAATGTCATTAGATTACAGTTGTTTATTATTTCATCGTGTTCTGACCTAATGCTCGAAGCAGGACTAGAAGGATCAACTCTTCCGTCTTCTGATGCTTGTTCTGCTGGATAATATGTACCTAAATACACCTCACAGGGCCACAAAGCCACATGTGCCCCTCTTCCTTCAGCTGTCTGACCCCAGGGGAATATAAGCAACAATCTGTTCCTGAAATCTCAGCAAAGCTTAATTCTTCTCACTGTTGTGCTGAATTTTGAGTATTTTCTTGAGTGCTGCTCATTTTACAATGGATTATGTATTACTTACTGACCTCTGAGCTACGGACTCAAAAGCTAGAAACAAAATAATTTTTCACGAAATAAGCAGTAAATAACTGGCCTTAGTTTACTTGTCTTCTGTGCTTTAGAAAAAAGCCAGCCAGGGGCCGGGGATTTAGCTCAATGGTTCCGAGCCTGCCTGGCAAGAATAAGCTCCTGGGTTCAATTCCTGGTACTAAAAAAAAAAAAGATCCAGCCCAAAGTGGTGGCACATGCTGGAATCCCAGCACTTAGGAGGCTGAGGCAGGATGATCGCCACAAGTTTGTGGCCAGCCTAGTACAGAGTGACTTCAAAGTCAGCATGAACTATGCAGAGAGGCCCCTGTCTCAAAAATCCAAATAATGCATATACATTACAGAAAATCTGAACAATACAAGAAATGGGAGAAAAAAGGCAAGCACTTTAGTATCATTTGCTTTTGATATTTTGTGTTCATAGATTTTGCTTCATATTTGTTTTCAACTACTATAATAATAGTTTTTATAATTAGATTAAAACTACCTCATCTTTTCTTATAATTATATAAGAATTTTTTCCATATCACAAGCTTTCCCTAAACACCGTTAGCAGCTGCATCCTCACCAATGACTGATGAGCTGCCCTTTCACTGGACAAATGGCTTGTTTCAAAACTTTCCCTTCAATAAATCAAATTGCGGTGAAAATCCTTGTAACATAAAGCCTTTTCTACAATTAGAATTATCTTCTTGGAGTAGAGTCTCTAAAACAGAGTCATCAAAGAGCATCAACATTTTTTTAATTTATTATCTTTATAAGAAATAAATTCTGGGGCCAAGGATTTGGCTCAGTGGTTCTGCCGCCTGCCTCACAAATGCAAGGGCTTGAGTTCAATCCCCGGTACCAAAAAAATAAATAAATAAATTCTGCCTCAAAGCCTATTCGCGACCCAGAGTGGGGACTTCTTTGTACCTCCTCCAAGTATAAAGAGAAGGATTCCTAGGATTAAAGGGGCCTACTATTATAAACAAATGGTTTTCCAAGGGAAATAACTGAAAATCAACACTTTAGACATAAAGATCACAGGGCTGGATAACAGCTATTCAATCATCTCCTCAAGTGGCCCCAAGCTCTACAACCTCTTCAAGAATCCATGAGCTCTACAATTAGGCCATTTGTTTTGTGTTTTGAGAAGGGTCTCATTATGTAGCTCAAACTGACCTCAAAGTCCAGTGATCCTTCTGTCTCAGCTTCCCGAGGGCTGGGATTACAAGTGCGCACCAGCTGTTGAAATTTAGTGATGGGACATGGGAGTTACTGTGTTATTTGGTCCATGTAGCCAAATGAGTTTGTTCAGAAAAAAAAAAAAACTTCTCTAGTAAGAGTTTTTTTTGTTTTGTTTTGTTTTGTTTTGTTTGGTACTGGGGATCGAACTTAGGACCTTACGCTTGCATGGAAGGTGGCAGTCTAATAAGAATTTTTAAAATAAGATTAGCACAGGGTTGGGGCTGTAGCTCCCTGGTAGAGCACTCACCTAGCACCACACACAAAACTCTGGGTTTAATTTCAAGCACCACAAACAATAAAATAAAATAAAAATTACATTAACACAGTAATTATGCTAAGGCATTAAATGTGTCAAAACAAGTTTACAGAGTAAATATGCCACATAAAAATGTGTGATTATGCATGCTCTGTCATTACCATAAAATAAGGAGTGCTATTTTAGATGCTCTAAAGTAAAACGTCATCCAAATGATGTCACATTTCAGTGAATCCAGCCACATAGTTTAAGAACCAGAAAAATCTCTTCCACTGCAATTCAACTAGATGGCCTGGACAACTTAAGCATCCCTCCAATACTGAAATTCCATGGTTCCCCAACCTACATTATCTTTTTTAATACACAGGTTGGCTGGTTTTAACTAAAAGCATACAACCTAAGTAATAAATTAAAAGAACTCAAATTCTATCCAGTAGAATAAAAACACGTTTTCAATACTCCAGATCACAGAATAGAGAGTTCGGGGGATAGAAATTTAAATCGTTGGTGAGGACCATGGAAAACAGACTGCAGATTGAACACCCGTTAATCCCAGCACTCTCAGAGGCTGAGGCAGAAGAATCTAAAGTACTAGCCCAGCTTGGACAACCTGGCCACGGGTGAGACCCCATATCCCAAATTAAAAATAAAGGGCAGGGGATGTAGCTCAATGAGAAGGCTCTGGTTCCAAACTCAGAAAAAAAAAAAAAAAGAAAAGAAAAGAAAAGGAAAAGAAAAAAGAGAAAAGAATCTCCATACCAGCTATTGTAAACTTAAATACTTACTGAAATGCTATAAACCCTTTTAGATATATTATTTCAAGACCATTTTCAAAACTAAAGTTACCTGAACAGCTTATAAATCATTAAGCAGGGTTGAAAAATAGATCTAAATATATGGTTTTAGTTCATTAGCGATTTTGTCTTTTAAATATTTACATACACATATATACACAGGTATATTTATATATGTATATATATGTATATGTATATATACACATACACTGTTTATTTTAAGTAAGGGTCTCTTCTGTTGCTCAGGCTGGCACTGAACTCCTGGATTCAAGAGCAATCTTTTCGCCTCAGTCACTAGAACAGCTAGGACATAGTTTGAAACAATGTTAATTCTTACAATAAAAAATGAAAAAGACTACAAGGCAATTAACATTTGTCACTTAAACGTTTAGTTTAGTACCTATCAGGCCCATCAGGCCTGGGCGTCTAGAATAACTACATTAGCTACAGTACGGCTCTGGCCTCTGAGAAAGACCAGACCAGGGTGTTCAAGGGGCGACTAAAGCTGGGTAAGACAGAGACGTCCCCTCTGCTTAATTTGGGGCTGCAGGGTCCGTGGCAGGGGTCCCCGCGGTGGACACAGCTGTCCGGGCTCGGCCGGGCTCGAATCGATGCGTTTTATGCATTGGGAGCCGGGCTTCGTGAACCCAGGGAGATGCAGAGGGGGCGGAGGAGGCCGCCCCGGAAACGATCCCCGAAACGTTGGTGTCACGGAGAGCGACGGGCGGGGGGCGGTACGCGCGGGCTCGGCCTACGGCGCCGGGCGAATTGGCATATGCACACCCGGAAGCGCGCGCGAGGACCCGGGAGACCCGGACGCCCACGCCCTCCCACGCTCACCCACGCTGGCCACGCCCGCCCTCCGATTGGTTGCGTGCGTGTTGGCCACACCCACCCGCAATGAGTACCCACGCTAGTCAAGGATAGGCCCTGGCCCTGCCCCTCGGGCTCGCTTTGGGCGAGACTGAAGACCTGTCCAGCACCCGGAAGCGCGCGCGAGGACCCGGGAGACCCGGACGCCCACGCCCTCCCACGCTCACCCACGCTGGCCACGCCCGCCCTCCGATTGGTTGCGTGCGTGTTGGCCACACCCACCCGCAATGAGTACCCACGCTAGTCAAGGATAGGCCCTGGCCCTGCCCCTCGGGCTCGCTTTGGGCGAGACTGAAGACCTGTCCAGACTCCTCTCTCTCCCTGCCGGAACCTGTTTTGTTTTTGTTTTTATTTTTATTTTTTCCGGAACTAGGGATTGAACTCAGGACCTTACGCTTGCCAGATAGGCGCAGCGCCACTGAGCTACGTCCCGGCCCAAAATAAACCTTAGACCTACCCGAATCTGTACAGTAGTTTGTCCCGCCTTGTCCCTGGGCCTGAGAGCCATCATCGCAAAACCCCAACTAGCCTGACTTATTCTTTCTTTCTTTTTGGTACCAGGGATCAAACTCAGGACCTTGTGCTTGCGAGGCAACCGGCGGAACCACTGAGCTAAATCCCAGCCAATGCATGACCTATTCTTAACTGTGCTTCTACTTTCTGCTTCCCACTCTGCTCCCAGATCCTGCCAATTTCTTCTTCCTTTACCTTTCTGTCACGGAGGCAGATGCAAAAGATCTGTGGCAGCTCCTGTGGTATCGCACACCTGTGACCCAGCACTCTGGGAGGCCGAGGCAGGAGGATGGCAAGTTCAAGCCCAGCCTGGGCAACTTAGTAAGATCCTGTCTCAAAATTAAAAAGTAAAAAGGGGCTGGGGATAGAGCACAGCCCAAAAGCCCTGGGGTTCAATCCCTGATGATGAAAAAATAAATAAATAGATAAATATGTGCCGCTAAAATCGCCATTTAACTATATAGCTATTCATTTTATTTAGCCAAGTCATGCCATAATAGTAAACAAGTGTATGACTAAAATTCTGTAATATGAATACTAATACCTAGCGCCCCCCACCCCTTCTTAGAGTGGTTAGGAAATCTGAATGAAATAGGCCACAGAAAACCATGTAGAAAGCTACTTGAGGGCTGTACAATTGTCACCTTAACAAACTGCTACCATTGATAAAAACAGTTCTAGCAGAGACCCAGCATGTGCTGAGGCTGGAACAAAGATTTCAAAGGGAGGCAGTCAAGTCCACCTCCATGTCTCTACCATAGATGGCACAGTACCAAAAATAAAAAGAGGAGAAAATCCATTCTTGGGACAGTAGGAATAACCCCTTCAAGCTTGATAATTCACTGGAATGACTAAGGAACACAGGAAAGCACTGTTCCTAGAATTGTGGTTTCAATACAAAGGATCTAAGTAGTTTGAGTCCCAAAAGCAGAGCATGAGCCACTCCCTCCGTGGAATCAGGGCTAGACTCCCTCCTGACACAATCCAGCTTTCACCAAGCAGGAAACCGGGGCTTCTGTGTCCAGAGCATGGCTCAGACAACTGGTGCTATTGGATGCAAAGTCTCAGGGGGTTGTTTCCAGCTTCTTGGCATCCTGAGCAAAGATTAAGCAGGACTCTCAGCAGCAAAAGTACTATGTATTAAGAGCAAAAGCACACTCTACAGAGAGTGAATAGGGAAAAAGCTCCCACCCAGATAGAAGCAACACTGGGTCTTTAAGGTCCTGGGATTATGGGAGGATCTATACCTGGGGATGGACAGGAGTCGTGGCCAATGGAGCACCTGACTCATCCCACCCCAGGAAGGAGGGAGTTTTTGATCATACAAGCTTTTTAGACCAAGTATCATGGCAGCCATAGCCAACTATGAAGGGTCAAAGCTGCAATGGGAATGAGATTGAACACAGGCCAAGGACATGTAGTTTGGGTTTTATGCATCCCTTGGGTCTTGTGGGGGCAGGGTGACCTTTATCTCTTGGCTTTCCAATGTTTTGACAGTCATCCTCGGTCTGCTTGCTGCCTTCTCAGTTCTTGTCCCATGGCTTTCTGTTGTTTAGCTTGATTGAATTGCTAGCCACTTGGTTGACCGCAGTGTCAGTGCTGTCTCTCCTGCAGGTCAGGGCAGCTCCAACCTCCAGCGCTCCAGGCACATGATGGGTCTTTCCCGTGACCAGCTCCCATCTGGACTGTTGCACATATGTGAACTCATGTGACAAGGGGCTTGCATTATTACTCTTGTCACCTGGGAAATTCCAGGAGCTTGAGACACTCCATGATGGAAACCCAGAACAAAGACCAGACACACAGCCGGGCCATGCACCACCACA